CCCTGATCATAAGATCTGTCATTGAGTCAACTGGCGTGGTTTCGATTCCCTGGTTTTACGTGACAAGGAGTACGGCCCCCTGTCCATTCTCGTGGGTTTTCTCCGGGTTCTCGGGTTTCCTCCCTGCTAAAGACCCCTACGCGCAAGTGAATTATTGAAATAAAATTGAACCATGTATTTCGACATTTGTACACTAAAATTAACACCTCTCTCTCTCCCTCTCTCTCTCTCTCTCTCTCTCTCTCCTTTGCGTTGCTTGGATTGGATTCAGTCGGATTACAAAAGAGTCCATCCTAATACATATAGGTTGTTTGCGATATCACCTCGGTGGAAGCGGACGTTAAATAAAGCTATTTCACACATACATATAGGTGTCACTCGGTTGTTTTATCGTCTGCAAAGGTGTGACATAGTGCCTAATAACTTGTCTATCGTATAAGATACGAACTATGGTTTAGATGGAGTGAACTTATTGACCCCCCAGCTAGTTTTGATAATATATGATATTGGCTGTTCAACTATACACTTTATTCTACACACGTACGCACTGTGTTGTAATTATGGAGTTACTTAATCCCATTATGATCTGTGTACAACCTGGTGACCAGCTAATTCAAACAACTCCATGACGATGACTTTGGGTTGTAAGACCCTGTTGAAAGGTATATAACCATCAGTTAGAGACAAGAAGAGAGACGGAGAGCCGGGAGAAAGGGAGGAATAGAAACTGGCGTATGAACTCACCCGTTTTCAGCCGCTGCCGTGGCAGAGGGACGGAATGGTTATCTATTAATGTACCGTGTTAATGTTATTGTTTATATTCCCGGTGTAGTTTAGTTCCTGTTTAATCCATGTTCCTGTTTTATACTATTCAAAAAAAGTAGGGGATATTTGATTTTGGGGGCATAATACTAAAATATGCAAATGACTACGAAAAAAGTCACTATACAACCTAACAGAAGAAACATTTCCAGTTACATGTGACGCCCAAACGCACCAATAGCTACCGCATGGAATGCAGGTGATGCTTGGGATCATCATGGGGGTCCAACCCAAGATTTGCACGACTCTGACTTTGAATGTTACAGTCATTGTGGCATTGAATTCCAGGGTGGAAACATCAGTTTAATTGTTTTAGTGACCAGAAAACAAATTTTGATATGCGTCGGCTTACCCAAAATGAAAGGTTACGTGCCCTTGGCATGCTACAGATCGGCACAACACAGGCGGTTGTGGCGCGGACGATGAATGTTTCACAGTCTGTCATAAGCAGGCTATGGTCCAGATACCGTGATACACAATCTGTACAGGACAGACCACGCTCAGGTCGACCAAGGGCGACAACTCAAGCCCAGGATCGATTTATCCGTACCTTGGCCTTGAGAAATCGTGTCATCACAGCAAATCAGATCAGCGCTCGTCTTCAAACAGACACTGGTGTGAGAGTGAGTGGCCAGACGATTCGGAATCGACTGCATAGGGGTCACCTTCGCGCCCGACGTCCTCGCGTGATCCCTTGTTTGAGAGATCATCACATTCAGGCAAGACGTCGTTGGTGTAGGGATCGTCAACACTGGGATAATCGACGCTTGAGCAATGTGATGTTTTCAGATGAATCAAGGTTCACTGTTGATTTTTTGGACAGACGTAGGAGGGTGTGGCGTCGTCGAAACGAGCGCTTCCAAGACGTTAACGTCATCAGACATGATCGATTTGGGGGTGGTTCTGTTATGGTGTGGGGAGGCATCACTGTTGCTGGAAGAACGGCTTTACATGTTGTTGCAGGGCGTGTTACAGGCCAGTACTACCGGGACAACATCTTGGCAGTCCATGTTGGGCCGTTCGCACGACGTCATGGCCGCCGTTTCATCTTCCAGGATGACAACGCAAGATGTCACAGGGCCAGGATCGTTACAGGTTACCTCCAACAACAGAACATCACCACATTACCTTGGCCAGCACTGAGTCCCGACCTCTCCCCCATCGAGCATGTCTGGGACATGCTTGGACAGAGGTTACGTCAACGTCAACAACGTCCTGCCAATGTCCAAGAACTTGCTGCTGCGTTGCAACAGGAATGGGACAATCTGGAGCAAAATGACCGTAGACGTCTCATTAGGAGTATGCCACGTCGGATCAATGCTTGTTTGGCAAACAGAGGAGGATTTACCCGTTACTGACTTGGTTGTGATGCTGTGGTAACTTTGCTGTTTGACCCCGGGTATCATTTTACCCTTATAATGGTCAGTCTGTGCCTTACTTAGTCTAACGATCATTTGGAATAAATCGATGAATGTGAACTTCATTTCATTTTGTCATTTGTTTCTTCGTCAGTTTCATTAGGTGACTTTAATAACACTTAAAAATCAAATATCCCCTACTTTTTTTGAATAGTATATATTCTGATACCGATGTAAACAAACCCTATATGTACGAGGCTGATCTCTGTTATCACTACTATAATAGTGTTGAAGATGATACCGAATGTTGTAAAATATTCAGTTCATCATATCTTTGTAAATACTGAACCTGGGCGGCATAGGCGTACGAGCTGGGGGGACCGGGGGCGGCCGCCCCCCCAATTTGGGCACCAAATGCTGGGAAAATTTGGGCACACAATTGTACTTTGTAAAAGTTGTAAAAAAAAAATATTGTGTTCTTGAGTGTGTTCAATTTAACAGCGAATTTATTATCATTATGTACTAATATACTAAGAACCTAACTACATTTTTTGGGCACCAACCACCACCGCCCCCCCCCCCCCCCCCAGTCAAAAATTTCCCCGTACGCCTATGCTGGGCGGGGTTGAATCATTTTAAGACTGGTTTTCTTTTCTGGCATTAAGGGGTTGGCCCCTTTTTTTCATAAATTGACTGGTGTAAATACTTCACCGATGCCTTAAAGGCATTTAGGCGGTAATCGTACAAGTAATTGATAAATACAGGATTACGAGGTAGTCTTTATTCGTAAGCACTATGGTTATGAATAACATCTTCCATTATATATGGGGTCACGGTGGCAAAGTGGGTAAGACGCTAGCTCGCTAGCCTTGAGGTTTCCCCTTGCCAGTGGTGCAAGGCAGAGGGCCTGGCAAGGGACAGCGTATAGTCGTTCGGATGGGACGAGAGACCGAGGTCCCGTATACAAATTGCCTAGCACGTAAAAGATCCCTTGGCAGTTGGGATTCGATATTAGAGTAGGCCGTAGTGTCGCTGTCTGGACAAAATTCCCCTCATAGTACACTGTATAGTATACTCGTCTTCATTAGCCCAGTCGGAGCAGAACAGTGGGACGTCGAACCCAATTTTATTTCATTTTTTTTTTTCTGAAGCGGAGCTATTGTGTACAGACAGCGTTTAGTAAACGAAGCTAGAAAATTCTGAGGAACTTTTTTGACCAAAGTTGGCATCAAACCGCGACCACCGTGTTTTTACAAGTTAGTGCCTCACTGAACCATCGTTGCTCCTGAAAAGATTTGTTGAAAGAATACTTCAGTTTTAAATTAGCATTTTGATATAACGATAAGCGGATAAAAAAAAAATAATATTGAAAACAATCACTGGTTTCATTAAAGGCTCAATACCACTCTTGTTGTAACTTAATAATATGTCCCAATTTTTATTCTGGTCAACAAATTGTACTATTTTACAGTATTCCAATTAATTGATGATACAAATTTCATCTTAACACACCTAATTTAAAAAATTGGACAAATAAAAACTAAATGATTTGAAAAGCCTAACGTAAAACTTTTCAAATGTGACTTGGATTTAAAAATATTTTCGAACCCTCTGGACGCGTAAAATAGGATGTAATGGATAATTTACACAACAGGTAGGACACTTAAACATCTAATACTTAGAATAAGGCTAATATTTATTTACTGGAGCTGTCAAGCCAGCAAGGGTGTTATTGTCCCTTTAAATGATAAGCGGATAAAAAAAAAAAAAATACTGGAAACAATCACTGATTTCATTAAACGATAAGCGGATAAAAAAAAATTATTGGAAACAATCACTGGTTTCATTAACGTACCCGTGTATACTAGTCGTCCCATAGAATTGTTTCAGATTTGTGATAACAATAATTTACTTTGGACGTTTTGATTCGAATTGAAATTATATGCAATGAAATGGGGTTTAACGTTGTACTATTCAGCATAGACTGGGCTAATGAAGACGGACATATGCTATAGTGTGCTGCGAGGGAAATGTTTCCCGGGCAGCGCCAATAAAACCTATACTCTTATTTCCAAAGGTTATTTTTATGGGTACGCCAATGTGTACACGGGCCTCTGTTTCTCGTCCCACCCGAACGACTAGACAACTGTCCTTGCCAGGCCCTCCACCCTGCACCTGCACTGACAAAGGGCAACCACGTCGGAAAATCCAGATGAACTTTCTCGACCAATACCGGGATCGAACACAGGACGTCCAGGTTAGCGATCCAACGTCTTACTTACTGAGCCACCGCGGCTACAGTTCAATATTAGATTGTATGCACAATTCCGAGAAATGAAATGAAATGAAATGGGGTTTAACGTCCAACTGTTCTGCTCTGACTAATGAAAACGTGCTCTGACTGGACTAACGAAAACATGCACATTCTAAGACTAATCTGCCAAGCCCACATCAAATACTCTACCATTTTGAAATGTAATAAAAAGAACTTCAAAATATCATATAATTTGTTTTTATTCCTGGCTAGAACTTAAAAAAAAAATGCAGTTTTGGAAAGCGTAGGCTGTGGACTATTTTAAAAATGTTGTCAGCTCTATTTTCATAAAAATGACCAAGAGCCTGTTTTTTTTTTATGGGAGCAACTCACTTATAACCCAACAGTTATTGTTTTGAAATCTGGTTGACTGTCTAACCGCAAAACAGGACTTTAAAACCACGTATCCGTTTCAGTGGTTATAGTGCGGCTGGAGTGCGAATCAACGCATCCTTGTTACCGTAGTGAGACGAAACATCCCAACGCACTGAACACTGGGATTGGCTGACTTAAAAATGTAAATAAAACTGTATAACATCGGCACAAGTGTAAAATTAAACACACGACACACTCGGAGGTCCGTGTTCGCACAATGGCTCTATAGTATCGTGAAATACGTCATTTAATAAGTGTTTAGCTTCATCATTTAGTTTATGAAATAATGGGAAATAGTAACACACCACCTAAAACTGACGAACCTCATCCTCTAGCTGATGGTTGGGGACACAACAGATCCAGAAGGGCTTCAACGAAAATTTATAATGCCAGTTTATCCAAACTTTTTGAGGTGAGTGGCACAGGCCTAAGCCTAAAATTATAAGATAATTTTTCTTTTCCATTGTCCGTGCTGCAAATCAGATTATTGACGATAATTGTAGTTACCAGTAGGCCTAGGGCCTACATGTATTTGAGGCAAAAATTGGCAATTTTCACTGACTGAAGTTAACCATTTTAAATTCATTTTAAGACCTAAATAATTAAGCTTAGATGTATTGACCCATGGACCCTCAACTCATAACGGGAGCCATGGTGGATCAGTAAGTAAGACGCTGGTTCGCTAACCTGGAGGTCCTATGTTCGATCCCCGTGTTTACCGAGAAAGTTCATCTGGAGTTTCAACATGGTCCCCACCCCACCCGAGGCCAGTGGTGCAGGACTTAGGTCCTAGCTAGGGACAATGTATAGTTGTCAGATGGGACGAAAAACTGAGTTCCAGTGTACATATACAAGAACCCTTAACAGTTGGAATTAGAAATAAGAGTAAGCCATAGTCACCCATAGTGTGCCACTGTCCGGGCAATACATGTATTTCCCTCATTGCACATTGTAGGCCTACACGATAAATCATTGAATCAATGTATCGTGATGCACCATCTCACGATTCGTGTATTGAATCACGAGATGCTGAATCAATGTATTGCGATTCTTTTTTTTTTCTTTTTTTTTTTTGTTGCTTCACTCACACATTATTCATAGGTACCGTACCGTACACAAACACTGTTAAAGTTTTTTGGGTCAGTAACATGATAAAAAAGTTTAATTTCTTCGACTAAATATATCATGATACATTGATTCAACAACATATCGTGCCAGCACTACTGTCCAGGCAAAATTTGTCTCATGTACCATACCGGATGTATGTATGTCCAACTTTATTAGCCCAGTTAGTGCAGAAAATGAAATGAGAGAGAGAGAGAAATGGGGTTTAACGTCCACTCGACACAAACTAGGTCATTTCGGGACTAACATGGTTTAATTTTATTTCAATAATTCGCTTGCGCGTAGGGGTCTTTAGCAGTGGGAGGAAACCGGAGGACCCGGAGAAAACCCACGAGGTTGGACAGGCGACCCTACTCCTTGTCACGTACAACCGGGGATTCGAAACCACGCCAGTCGACTCAATGACAGATTTTATGATACAGCGCGCGCACGCTAACCATTCAGCCATCCAACCCCCCGAAAATGAAATGAAATGGGGTTTAATGTCCTACTGTTTTGCTCCGAATTGGGCTAATGAAGATGGGAGGTTCAGAAAAGTAGGGGGAGTGGATGGCCGAATGGTTAGCATGTGAACACTGTATCATAAGGTCTGTCATTGAGTCAAATGGTGTGGTTTCGATTCCCCTGTTGTACGTGACAAGGAGTAGGGTCCTCTTGTTTCCTCCCACTGCGAAAGACCCCTACGTACAAGCGAATTATTGAAATAAAATTAAACCATATTAAGTCCCGAAATGACCTAGTTTGTGTGGAGTGGACTTACCCCCCCCCCTCTCTCTCTCTCTCTCTCTGTAGAAAAGTAGGATGCTAAACAATGAAATCCAGAATTAGAATGTACATGTAAAGAAAAACATTAAATCTTAAGACAACTGCATCTCCTCATTGGATTGGCAGATCAGTCTCAAAGTTTTCATGCAAACACTCAGAATATTACTACATCACCAATTTCAAAAATAATATATTTTGTCCACCATCCAGTGTGGTTTCCTCTTGTCAGTGGTGCAGGAGGGAGGGCCTGACAAGGACTGTATAGTCGTTTGGATGGGACAAAAAACAAACGAGGCCCTGTGTACACATCGAATTGGCATGCACATAAAGGATCCCCTGGCAATTGGAAGTCGATATAAGAGTAGGTCTTAGCTCTGCTGCCGGGCAAAATTTCACTCATAGCACACTGTACGTTTGCCCATCTTCATTAGCCCAGTCTGAGCCGAATAGTATTACGTTAAACTCCATTTCATTTCATTTCACCACCCTCTAGTAAATAACAAAAAAGTTGACCAAAGTTCTAATGCTTCTTTAATCATAAGGGGGGTTGGTTGGCCGAATGATTTGCACGTGTGCGCTGTATCATAAGATCTGTCGTTGAGTCAACTGGTGTGGTTTCGAATCCCCAGTTGTACGTGACAAGGAGTAGAGTCGTCTGTCCAACCTCGTGGGTTTTCTCCGGGTCCTCCGGTTTCCTCCCACTGCTAAAAACACCTATGCGCAAGCGAATTATTGAAATAAAATCATAAAAAAAAATATCAACACTAGTCAAAACCTGTGGCAAGACCCAATCTGATTAAAATATAGATCTATATTGCGTTTCGTTTTTTATATACTTTCGATGGCCTCAACTACATGAAGATCTGACCGGTTGTAGTGGAAGGTCAAGTCAGGGGTCATACGAGCGGCTTTTGACCCCATGACAGACATTTGATTAACCAATCAGCGTTGATGTTTCTTGTGGGTTACCCACAGTTCTGTGTACCTTGGGCAATCCCTCACATCATCCAGAGCGCAGGTTATATAACAACTCTTCCAGATCCTAGTGTTGTGAAGACAAGTAAAACGAAATTTTGAACTATAAAAATCAAAACGAAATAGGGTCTGTGTTTTAATCAGATTGTGGCAAGACCTTGAAATATTATAAAAGCATTTTCTGTTTTTAATAAATATTTCAATTGAGAGTAAAAATCATCCATTATTGTGTATTGCCATGTACTTTATTGTAAGGTCTGTTAATAAACTTATGTATAGTTGGTCCAAGTTATTCTATTTTTCTACTCTTTCTGTATAAACTGAATGTAATAATGTATTGTTATTTGTTTATGAATGTAAAGCTTGTGAAACATGTTCATGTAATCTTGTTTCTGAATGAAAGAGTATTTTTTTAAATTATACATGTAAAAAGTAAAAATATGTCATAGTGGTCAGTTCTATTTTTGAGTTAGTAGTTTAAACTGAGCTGTCATGTACATGTACATCTAAACATCAGATTCCTATCTATTCCCAGATTTGGGGGGTTGATGGCCGAATGCTTAGCATGTGCGTGTTGTGTCATATGGTCTGTCATTGAGTCAACTGGTGTGGTTACGATTCCCCGGTTATTCATGACAAGGAGTTGGGTCAACCTGCCCTGTCCAACCTCGTGGGTTTTCTCTGGGCCCTCCGGTTTCTTCCCACAGCTAATGACCCCTACGCACCAGCGAATTATTGAAATAAAATTGAACCGTATGTTAGTCCCGAAATTATCTAGTTTGTGTAAAGTGGCTGTTAAACTCTCTCTCTCTCTCTCTCTCTCTCTCTCTCTCTAATAGAAACTTTGATTGTACATGTAGGTTAAAACAAATTTTAATGTCCTGAAATAACCTAGTTTTTCATGTATATTGATTAGATATTAAAACTTCAAATGTGTATAAACATTTTTATCTTTTCGCATAAAAGGCAAAACAGACTTTTGGACGAGAATGCTTGAATTGAACAGAACAACAAGTGGGTTTAATTACAACTTCAAAATAATGTTTAATACAATCATAATTACCAGTACAACAACTGACTTCCACTTTTCAGCCAAATTAAGGTCAAATAAATACGATGGACTTGTATTTGTTCGGGAGGCCATTTCAGAAGGGCCTTGGTTCAATGTGACTCCGATCGTTTGTACCTGAAATTGATTATTCCACACAAAACTTAAACAATTTGCTACCAGATGGCGCCATTAACTGGGGTTCGTTGAAAAAGTGACTTAGATCGTTCTTCCCCGGGGCTCTTCATTTTGATCATTTCAATTACATATATTATAATTTAATCACTAAAAATATGTAAAGTAAGTAATCTAAATGAATTTATTTACAGCCACAAAAAACACGAAGCTTTGTTGAGAACCTAAACAATTTACAATGCATATATAATATACATGTACTTTATTGTATAATGGTAAATTCAAGTTAAATTTATAATTAATTCATAAGGTTTTTATGTGGTGAATGGTTAACACAAACTGAATGTATAGCATCAGTGTGTTTAAAGAAAAAAAGAAACAGATTTCCTTGTAGAAATTAAAACAAAACACCTTTTACTCAGAGTATATAAATAAACTATTATCTTACCTGGGAGATATAAAGGGGAAATAATGTATAACCCTAACTCGGTTGGTCATTATTATACCATAACTTACAAACAGTGGTTGGTCTTCTTTACAAATATTCATTATAATTACACATTAAAGGGATGTGTACATCATTGTTATAGTTTAAAGGGAAGCATACATTATAATACAGTAGTTTAAAGTACATCTACATCTACACTACTATTATAGCATTGAGGTCGGGTGTTCTATCCCTGCATTGGCCGAGAAAGTTCATCCAGATTTTCCCGTGTGGTTCCCCCTTGTCAGTGATGCAGGACAGAGGGCATGACAAGGACAGCTGTCTAGTCGTTCAAATAGGACGAAAAACCAAGGTCCTGTGTACACATAGACGTGCACTTAAAAAGATCCCTTGACAGTTGGAATCCGATATCAGAGTAGGCCGTAGTGCGACTGTCCGGCAAAATTTCCCTCATAGCACACTGTATGGCATATGCCCGTCTTCATTAGCCCAGTTATGGAGCAGAACAGTAGGACGGTACATGTAGTAAGATGTGTGAATACATGTATTTACATATAGGTTTATGTGTTTTGAGATTAGAAAGTACCTGTATAGGTGCCTGCATAATTTAAAACATGGTTTTGAGACAAGGAAGTATCTGTACAAGTACCTGTCGTATATTATATTTATATTTACATAAACTACCTGTTAGAGGAGTTCAAGTACCTGTTTATCACATGTCTCAAGAACGTGCAGGTATATTATTATTGGAAGGGAACAGGATGTAATCTCTTCTAATAATTATATATCTATACATATAGAGGGTGTGTACTACATCATACTATATACACAGTCGTCATAAAATCAGGTGTACATGTACGTAATGTATCTTAGGTGACAATCAGGGGTTGAGAGGTGGGGCTTAAGTGGTGGTATG